AGCTGTTTTCCTCCACCCTCTCCACCATCCACATCCCCAGTGAGGTCAATGTGCGCTCACCACAGATGTCTGCCTAGGAATAGGGACCGTGTTCAGGACTGTGAAATGAAGTCACTTCACCTACATAACACAAATGGTTCCCTTGGGGACATACCCTCTGCAGAACCCTTTGTGGTGGACTTTCTTTTTTTTTCCTGTGGGAGGTGTGGGGAGCGACAGGGGAAAGCATAGGATTTGGAGAGCAACCTTGATTCGAAGCCTAGCTTTGTTACTTTCAGCTGTGGGTGCTGAATAAATCACTTAGCCTCTCACTGAGTAGCAGCGTTCTACAGTGGGGATGTTACAGTATCCACCTGCCCAGATTTTTCTAAAGGTTTAAAGAGATCTTAAGTGTGAAGGCACCCAGCAGAGAGTCTGGCATGTGGCAGCCACTCCAATCGCGGCTGTTTATTCATCCCTCCCCAAACCCCACAATTTTACTTGATCACCAGCACCCTAGACACAGGTATGCCTTGGGACACGCCTAGGTGACAGTAAGCACTCATCTTGCGTTCTCACCTTAATGGCCACAAAACAGAGTGCTCATCTTCTCCGTCATCGAGTTATTTTACATTTCTTCTATTAAAGAATTTCAAACTGCCAAATGGGCTCTGGCAAGCAATCTAAGAAAATGAAATGGTGAGTTTAATGCAGTATTTTCCCACTAGGTGGTGCTGCAAGTTAAAACTTTCCCTCAAGTTAACTTACCCCCCAATATGTTAACTTCTAAAGCGGGGAAACGGACGGGACGCCCCTCGGAAGAGGAAAGAATCAATGTGCAACCAAAAAAATAATTTATTGGTAATTCCTCAAAACAATTAACACCAAGGCAAATGAGTTAATTCAACATTCAGTGCCCCGTTCAGAGCCGAGACGGAGACGGTGCCTGCTCTCACCGAGCGCACAATCTAGAGGACCCAACGCCACCTTAATCACATAAAGAGTCCCTAACCGTGAAATATTTTCACAACTACTTTTCGTATTCACTTTTTTTTTTTAACGAAAGTCGTCCTGGTTTGTTTTCCGGTTGGCAATTTCGTAGGCTACGACGGAATTCTAGGCCAAGGGAAAACTGTCAGATGCTGCGGCCACCCTTGTCTCAGACCAGCGCGTCGGGCAGGTGCCAGGTGCCCAAACGTGCCTACCCAAAGTCCCAGCCCAAAGGCCCGGCCCACTTCGGGGCCTGCGCCGGTCCCTCCGCCCCTCGGCCGGCACGGCGGGGCCTCGCCCTCCTCCCGCACCGCGAGCCCTCGGCACTCACCATGGCCGCGAGGCTCTGGCTCCTGCCCCGCAGCGCCGCGAACCAACGCCGCGTCGCCCCTCGCGCCCCCAGCGCCGCAGCCATAATCTCTGGCCGAGGGCTGCCCGGCGCGCTGCCTGACCGCCCCTGCCCGAAGTCAGGGGCCGAGCCGGCAGCTCCCAGCCACGGCCCAGGACTTCCCGCACAACCCGGCCCCGCGCCGCGCAGGCCCAGACGCGGACCTGCCCCGGAAGGCCCCCAGATGCTACAATGGCCGGCGACGCTGCTGGCATCTAAGCGGACGCGCGGCAGGCCCCAGGCAGGCCTCCTCAGGCCCAGATGCTGCCAACCCCGGCTCTGAGGCCCGTCCTCGTCATCCCTGCCCGGTGCCGGGTTTCCCGCCTGTGCGAGAGCGGTAGGCGTGCTGGCGAGGCGATGAGGATGGACCTCCGCCTCGCTCTTCGGTGTCCGGGCCTCGGGTTGTCGCCGACCGTCTGACCGCACCGGGCTCTTCTGGGCGGTGGGGCGAACAGTCCGCGCAGGCGGGAGGACGTCGCGGGCAGGGACAGGAACAGATGAGCTGCAGAGGGGCGGGGGGTGATTGGGGACCACTCCCCTCTGCTCGCGGTTGAGTGAACCATAGTGATCCGCATAAGGGCCTTATAAAGCAGGGGGCCGCCGGTTGGAAAGTGAGCTCTGCTCTGTTATTACTTAGCTGCCAATGCTCTGGGCAAACTGGCTCATCTGTCTTTGCCTAGATAAAATAATTTGGAAAACCTAGCTCATAGTGCTCTCTAGAAGGTAGCACAGGCACGGTACACAGGCACCTCGGAGATACATGTGGACAGATTTAGATAAATTTTTTTTATATATTTAGTTTTCGATAAAAGGAGTAGTCTTTTTTATATTTGTATTAGTATTTTATTCTCTTATCATTATTCCTCCTTTTTTTGCCTTTTTTTCTTTTTGAGGTGTAATTCACATACCATAAAATTCACCCTTTAAAGTGTACAATTCAGTGGTTTTTAGTATATGCACTTGTATCTTTTTTTACTAAATAGTTTAAGCAAATTAATAATATAAGCAGTTTTGCAGAGGACATAGCAATACACTCGAATATTTTTTTAAAACGAGTCAATTTTAAGTTCAACTTAGCAGTTGCTAGCATTTGGCTTTATTTCTCATGTGGACTTGGAAAATATAAAGCCTTTTTACCCAAAATAGTCTAAAATTCAGACTCATGGCCCAGCCCATCTTCTTCCCTTTTGCCCACTTGATGAAAACTCAGCAGAGCCATCTTGCTGTAGACCTTCATCAGATGTCACTGATCTCAAGGCATTTATCTAAGACTTTCTAGTTTCTTTTGCCTGATGCCTTAGGTGGACAGAGGCAGGGGTTGGAATTAAAAATTGTATTTCCAATATTTACTTTGGGTTTTTAGGATCATGAAAAATGCTACAGAAACTTGCTCATTAAAGTGAGAACTGAGAAATGAACTGGTAGTTGTGAGGTAACAAGTTGGAGACCCCTCATCATTTTCAGTAGTTTGCTTTCATCATTTTCCTTCCCTAACACCACTGTACGAGACTGTGGCATGTCAGCTCTAGTCATGAAAGCAGCAGCAGGATGCCAGTGCTAGTTAGGGCCCAGGGGAAGTGATGTCCACCAGTAGGGGCTGTGAATGCCCGGCCCTCACACTAGGTCTCTTAGCAGGATTTAAGTCCCTCAGCAAAGATTTACTGGGCACATCGTCTGTAATGAACACTGTTGAGAAAAGCAGTCTCCTGCTCACAGTCTTTCACATAAGAATAGGCCTTGGACCTGGGACACTTCCTTACCAAAAAAGAGCCCACACACACTGTGCCAGGCTTATCAGCCTGTGAAGGTATCCTTCCCTGTTTCAGACTGAATGTGTGCTCCTTTGTTCTGCTTAAGCATGGATGTCAATGACCTTGGGGCACACAATGCTATGGCACTAGAGGGGTGCTCTTTAGCCATAGGCTGGGGGTGAGGGACACCCATGAGCCACTCTGCACACTACTGTGACTGATCTTGCTGTCTCTAAGTGAATAAAAACACTTCCATCCAGTGCTTGACCATGTTGTTTTCATTGGCAACTCTGATACCAAGAAGTCATGGACAGAAGTGTTTGGACTTATATCCCTGGTGGCTGGCATTGTGATGATCCTTGCTATCCTCCATGTAGTTGCAGTCCCCTTCTGGCATTGGTTCCTGGTACATGGTGTTCTCGACAGACATGTTTGGCTTGGGGTGGTTTAGCTGGTCTTGGACCACTTCCTTCCCCCCATCTGCTTCCCTGTCCCTCAACACCAGTGCTTCCGGCTGACCCTCCACACTTGCACCTCCCCTCCAGGGAGCAGCCCTGCTCCACATTTCCCTCCAGGGGAAGCTCTGTAGCTTATCTGAGCTAAGTGTCAGAAGCAAAGCCATGGATCTGTTGGTCATCCTGGGAGCCTTTCCTCACCCTCCAGACTAGAATAGGACCCCGTTACATATCAAACAATATGAAAATTCCTGTGTCCTTGATAGGATAACGCCCACTCTTGGAATCTGCCCCCAAGGAAATAAGACTATATACACAACCATAAATCCAGCAAAAGAGCACAGGTTAGATAAGTAATGCTGAATCTATTCAAAGGCCTATTATGTAGCCACGGTTAGGAAAACTACTACCAACAGTGAAATATTTATTATTTGTTAAGCAAAAGAAGAAAAACGCTATATCATGACTACAAGTATGGGAAGCACACATAAGAGAAAGACCGGAGTGATAGGAATACGATGGTTGCCTGAGCCATGGCAGAGAGGCAGGACTGGGTACCAACCCACATAGAGGCTCTGGAGTCAGAATGCTTAGGTTTGAAGCTGGGTTCCACCACTGGAAGCTGTATAACCAAGAGCAAGTTATTTAGGGCCTCATTTACTCATTTTAGAGTAGTGTCAATCTCAGAGAGCTATTGTACAGATAAATGAAACGGTGTATGTCAAGCACCTCAAACAGTAGCTGGCACACGCAGTAATATTCAAATATTGGTTATTATTATAAGAGATGGAATAACTAGAGGTTTCTTTTCTTATACGTACAGATAAACATACACGTGAAGGTTCAAATCCCAGCTTCATCAATGTACTGTGTATGTAACCTAGGTAACTTATTTAACCTCAATATGCCCGTTTGCTCATTTGTAAAATGGAAGTAATAATGGTACTGTTCTGAGCTATGGTCCCCTCCTGCCAGTGACTACCCCAGCCAGAGCTGTCCACAGCATGACACATAACATTGACACATAACATTGTAAACTCTCAACCGATGTTACACGCAGAAGGAGACTCATCTAAGGTTCTATTTTCATAGAATTTAGGACGCCTTATGAACTATTCTATCTAAAGCTCTGGAAATGATCAGTATAAAAGTAGTTTATCATTATGTAGTCAGCTGTCATATCTGAATTTAAGGGATCTTTTAGAAACAGCTTTTCAAAAAGTTTATGTAAATTACATGTTATCTCTACACGTATCCTAAACTAGACTAGAATCAACTTGTGGGCAACAACAGTACTTTATATTTCTTTTGACTCTCACTAAACCTAGCACAATTCCAAGAACATTTTAAGGTTTAATTAGTGCATGCTGATTAATATCTGCCTTACCCAGAAACAACTTCTTAAACCACTTCAGATGCTTTCAGTGAAATCAGAGATCATGAACACCAAGGTATTTGACTTTATTTTCCCACTGGTTGCTACTTGAAAGGGCACACTGATCGATCCTAATTATTCTTCCCATAAAAGAACACTTTCCTGCTTACTGACTCTGGGAGAGAAATGGCAAATGAACAGAAAACCAACTTTCTCAGACATATACAAGAAATCAAGAGTTTTCTAAAACTATAACCTGAAAGTCCTATTTCTGCCTCTATATAGTAAGCATACTGTCATTCTACTCACTATTCCACCAAAATACATCTTCACATGTCAAACTGGATTACCCCCTTAAGTACTGGGTAATGTTCAAGTAGTAAAAACAAGAATTTTTACTGAATGTTATGGACAATTTTTGCATTTGCTTATTACAATACTAGTTAGAAACACCAGTTTATAATTTTTTACACGTTCAACAGTTCAACAAACACATGATTCTTTCAATCTGACTGAAGTTGTAAGTCAGCGCTTCGCTGGAGAAAATGTATGAAATTGCAGCGTTAATTTCTGAAATGAAGGATTGAAATTCTTCTTTCCAACTCTCCTTTGAGTCTTATCACTACTCCGCATGTTCCTGCTCTTGTCCTGGAATTAGCCATCGAATACTCTCAGTTCGAACGGTAGCATACATAATAAAACTAATTAAAAAGAATAAGGAAAATACAAGCAACCAGTCTACATTTTTTATCAAAGTGCTGGGAAGAGGACCTATTTGGTCAGCTTGAGTTACCACCACGTTTTTCTTGGCTTCTATACCTGAAAGAGAAATCAGTTGTTTCAAATGAGATAGAAAACATACCCGCTACAGAATTTTCTTAAGTATTCTGCATGGTATGCAAAATGATATGCAGTCTTAAAATAAACACCACAGCTAGTATATCTGGGATGGGTTTCACTTGCCTGTCAGTGTAATCTGTAACTTGCCCTTCTCCCCACCACATCAAAGGAGCAGGAATCCATTCAGCTGTTCAAAGCTAAAACACCAGAATTTCAATGAACTCACCAGAAAGGTCTTAGTCAGTGCACTGTGTGAGTTGTCTTTTGTTCTCTTTCAAGACCAATGTTCAACAACTAGTAAAGCTATTCTCAGGAGTCTACAGAATGTTTTCACAGGGTAAGTAATGCTAAATTCAAAATGTTTTTAAATAATTTACTGAAAGAATTGTTAGGGGACTTCCCTGGCAGTCCAGTGATTAAGACTCCACACTTCCACTGCAGGGTGTGGGTTCATTCCCTGGTCGGGGAACTAAGATCCTGCATGCCATGTGGCACGGCCAAAAAAAAAAAAAAGAGTTAAGCTGAGCTCATTTAAAAAAAAAAAAAAGAATTGTTAGAACAACTCACCACCACTGGGATCAGTGATTACCAAAGATGCTGTGACTCCTAGATTTCATTTGGTTCTAAGTTTTCTGGGAGCACTGAGCAAAATGGCTCCCCCTGTCCATATCAATCTAAACGACAACCAGGGGACCAGGACAAAACTTGGAATAACTAACTACCTGGTAAGAAGCCTTTTACTCCTATGAGGTAACTCAGTTCTTTGTTCTTCTGTGTTAGATATAAGTCATTACATGCAGCTAAGAGTATATGGAAGGTATGTTATAATTTTTATTTACTTCCAGTGAATATATTTCAGGAAGAAGAGGGGTGCTCATAACTGAGGCATTAAAGCTTTTGAGGAATGAATTTTCCAACAAAGGAAATTTCATCAATGTACAGTGCTCAAATTTTTACAGGATAAAAATAAGGCCCTATGTTTTGGCAAATATTAAGGAATTAAAATAGCATCTACAAATGAATTAATAAATAGAACTCTATACAGCAACAAACATGAAGAAAACACAACCATACACAACAATGCAGATGAATCCCATAAACATAATGGTCAGTGAAATCAGCCAGGCATGGAAGGATCCACACTGTACGTCTCCATTAATATAAAAGTCAAAAACAAGGAACACTGGGGCTTCCCTAGTGGCGCAGTGGTTGAGAGTCCGCCTGCCAATGCAGGGGACACAGGTTCGTGCCCCGGTCCGGGAGGATCCCACATGCCGCGGAGTGGCTGGGCCCGTGAGCCATGGCCACTAAGCCTGCACGTCTGGAGCCTGTGCTCCACAATGGGAGAGGCCACAACAGTGAGAGGCCCGTGTATCGCAAAATAAAACAAAAACAAACAAAAAAACAAGGAACAGTACACTATGGTGTTAGGAATGAAGATGGTGGTAATCCTTGGGGAGGACAGGAGTGAGAGTGCTAAAAGGACTGGTGATGTTCTCTTTCTGCGTACTGGTTACTCAGGGTGTTCACTCTGTGAAAATTCGGTGCCACGTACACTAGTGATTGATGCATATTTTTGTGTAAATATTATACGTAAATGAATAATGTATGTAAAACAGTATCTAGAGGTATGTACTATGTAAATTTTATCTCAATAAAGCTGTTATATTTTTTAAAGTATCTATAATCATATTAGTATTACCTATTCATGTTAAGCTTGCCACTGACCAGGAGACATTTAACAGGATCTTAACATTTCATTAGAAAAGAAGTTTTATATCCTAAAGCCAATCTTGAATCCTTCACTTAAGGATAATACTGTAGCAGATCCGAACCCACAGAAGGCACATTCCTCCAGCAATAAAATGTCTTCTTCTACAGTGTTCTACATACCTGTCTGATTAAAAATGAAGATTTTCAGCGTTTCCAATGTTCGGTCTGTATGATTAAATCTAGCCATTGGTTTAGCCCCTTGAAATAACAAGATGTTAGGAACAGCTACAGTGCCAAACCTCGTAGAAAGGCTACAAGAGAGAGAAGTCAGTCAGAAAACCCAAATTAACAGTGGGCTTCCTCACACAATTACCATATCAGAATGGATGGAAATAAATGAGGAAGGCTCAGTTTCCTGTGACCTATGAGGCTCCTGATACTGAAACAACAGGCTTGTAGTTGCTCCTGACAGCTTTCCTCGTGGGTCATGGTTGGGGGCATTCGTGTTCTGTTCTCTGAGTTGCTTTCTGTTACAACATGGAGCTGCCCATGACACAATTATTCCACTAGTTCTGTTTTTAACAGCCAAAACAGATCAGACCAGAAAATTCTAATTTATGAAAGAAGCACACTATGTCAATTTACCTAACAGAAGAAATTTCAGACTCTGCAGAATGCCCATCTCCAACCCTCATAAAAGATTCAACTTAAGCATTTAGGTTAGTGAGTCGGTGCAAAGGAATCTACAACCTAACAAACACACCAGGAAGTTCACAATTAAGGCAGGACAATTCAGAAGTAATAGGACCTGAGCAGTATTGTTTCACTTTTACAGAATACAGAGTAGTGGTATAAGCTCCAGAGTCAAAATGCTCAGGGTTCAAGCCTCAGTTCTGCCACTGAACCAGCTGTGTGACCTTTGGACAGATTATTTAACCTTTTTAAGCCTCAGTTACCCCCAGAAGTAAAATGGTAATATTGTATGATCAGGATTTTTTCTTCTGTAAACATGCTGTAACATAAATATTAACATATGAGGCAAACACATGTCCCACGCCATACAGTAAGAGCGAGTATCCTCTATTCTCCATAATTGAGGCACCATACCAGGCACTGAGAAGGATGCATGGTGATGAAGAAGGAACAGAGGAGATGATAAAAGCCTGCAGGGATTGGGGGGCAGCATGGGGGTTAGTATCAGACCCATAGCCAAACAGCACTAAGCAGGTGCTTGGAGCCAGCCCTGCTGGATTGGGGGCAGTGGAGAGTCCAGTCAAAGCTGGACAATGACCTTGAATGTCCTTCCAATCAGTCTGTAACCTTGAGCCTGGCCACTGAGATCTCTCCCTGAAGGCTTTGTGGGAAGTTGTTGGGCAATTTCTTTATTCATAAACAATTTCAGGTAAAAACTGGCAGTTCCAGTTCCACTATACTTTTCCACCCTGAAAATCAGTGCCTCATTTTCACCACCAACTTGACTATCTTCCAGACTTTCCAAATTTATTCACACACAACCTCCTTGTGACCTGCTAATAAGCAGCATCTGACTTAGAGGAGGAGGGGAGTACACAGTTTATAACCCCAGGCACAGTCACAGGGGAAATATACAACATCTGCACAAAGTTCTTTGTAACTTACCTTACTGAACATTCAGAAAAGACAAAACCCCACTGAACAATATGAAAGAACATAAATTTAGCAAGGGTAAATGTATTTCAAAGGCCTAAAATAATTCGTCAAATTTATTGAATGTCTCCTAAGAACACGCATGCAAGAATACAAGTGAGCATGAAGAAAGAAAAGGAAGGAGGGAAAGAAGGAAAGAAAAAACTAAAAAGGAAAGAAAGAAATCCTTAGTAGACATAAAACGGGTGCCCAGAGTTAGGCTGCCAGGGTGGGAACCTAAGCTGCAGATGAAAGTCACAAAGGAACACCCTACTTAGGATGCTAATTTTGCTAATTCAGTCTGGCCCGGACCCTAAAACGTCCTCTGCCCCCACCCCTGCCATGAGGCAGAGCCATCACTGAATTCCACCACCCAGAGAACAGTCTTTCTTTCTCAAGGGGCCTCCAGAAAGTCTCCCTCGGGAATGTGACAGTCCTCACTAGTCACACTTGTTTCTCCCTCCCTCAGTTCCATTTCAAAGCTCAAGCTCAAACCTACCTCCTCTGCTCCTAACTTAACTGATTACGACCTCCAAGTAACTGCAACCATCATCCAACAAGATGAGGCAGAAACCCCACCAAGGGAAGATACTAAGGGAAGATACCTGCTGTGCTGAGATGCATCCAGTGCCAAAAAGTGAAGAGCTGGAAACGCCCGGGGCAGAGAGTTAAAATGAGGGGCCAAACTGGCAGAAAACCGGCACCAAGGGGTGTAAAACAGGACTAGAGTGCAGTCACTACCGTTTGGGTTGAGAAAATCCATAAGGTCCTGTGGCAAAAGAAACAAAGTGTTAAAGTCAGCAGTACAGGATGTACACTTTTTCTGGAAGGATACACAAAAAACAGGAACCACTGCTGCCGTCAAGGGAGAGGAGGTAGGGGCAGGGACGGGAGGGAGACAGTAGTGCAGCTCCCGAAGAACCTTCTGGATTGGGACCATAGGGATCCATGGGTCAGCAGAAAAGTACTATCAAATGACGTGTTATAAACTTTCCTCCAAGGTTTCTTTTTTCTTTTAATTGAAGTATATAGTTGATCTACAATGCTGTGTTAATTTCTTTTCCATTACGGTTTATCAGAGGATATTAAATACAGTTTCCTGTGCTATACAGCAGGACATTGTTGTTTATCCACTCTCTATGTGATAGTTTGTGTCTACTAATCACAAACTCCCAGTCTATCCCTTCCCCACCCGCTTCTTCCTTGGCAACCACAAGTCTGTCCTCTATGTCTGTGAGTCTGTTTCGTTTCCTGGATAGGTTCATTTGTGTCGTATTTGAGATTCAACACATAAGTGATATCATATGCTATTTGTCTTTCTCTTTCTGACTTACTTCACTTAGTATAATCATCTCTAGGTCCATCTGTGTTGCTGCAAATGGCATTATTTCATTATTTTTTATGGCTGAGTAATACTCCATTGTATATGTATACCACATCTTCTTTATCCATTCCTCTGTCAGTGGACATTTAGGTTGTTTCCATGTCTTGGCTATTGTAAATAGTGGTGCTATGAACATAGGGGTGCATGTATGTTCTTTTTTTTTTGGCTGCACTGTGCGGCATGCAGGATCTTAGTTCCCCGACCATGAATTGAACCTGTGCCCCCTGCAGTGGAAGCGCAGAGTCTTAACCACTGGACCGCCAGGGAAGTCCCAGCATGTTTTTTGTTTGTTTGTTTGTTTTTTACATCTTTATTGGAGTATAATTGCTTTACAATGGTGAGTTAGTTTCTGCTTTATAACAAAGTGAATCAGTTATACATATACATATGTTCCCATACCGCTTCCCTCTTGCGTCTCCCTCCCTCCCACCCTCCCTATCCCACCCCTCCAGGCGGTCACAGAGCACCAAGCTGATCTCCCTGCTTCCCACTAGCTATCTACCTTACGTTTGGTAGTGTATATATGTTCATGCCTCTCTCTCACTTTGTCACAGCTTACCCTTCCCCCTCCCCATATCCTCAAGTCCATTCTCTAGTAGATCTGTGTCTTTATTCCTGTCTTACCCCTAGGTTCTTCATGACATTTTTTTTCTTAAATTCCATATATATGTGTTAGCATACGGTATTTGTCTTTCTCTTTCTGACTTACTTCACTCTGTATGACAGACTCTAGGTCCATCCACCTCACTACAAATAGCTCAATTTCGTTTCTTTTAATCGCTGAGTAATATTCCCTTGTATATATGTGCCACATCTTCTTTATCCATTCATCCGATGATGGACACTTAGGTTGTTTCCATCTCCGGGCTATTGTAAATAGAGCTGCAATGAACACTTTGGTACATGACTCTTTTTGAATTATGGTTTTCTCAGGGTATATGCCCAGTAGTGGGATTGCTGGGTCATATGGTAGTTCTATTTTTAGGTTTTTGAGGAACGTCCATACTGTCTCCATAGTGGCTGCACCAATTTACATTCCTACCAAGAGTGTAGGAGGGGTCCTCCTCTAAGCTTTCTTAATATTACTATAGAGCAATTTTAATATTTTTCATAATTCATATACTAAGTACTCACAGGGTACAGGCCACGGTCCCAACTTTGGAATTCTGCATCTCATACAATCTAACAATATTATTAAAGCACTGTGGTCTCAGGCCCAAACTATCATCTCAGCAGCTCCAAGTCTGTACTAAGCAGTCAGGTTAGTTCAGTTTGAGGGTGCACCATCCCTGCCACCACCAAAACTCAGACTGCTCAAACTGCTTGCTCCTGGTCATGTGTGTGACACCCATCAAAAGGCCACAGAGCTGAGGCACAGCATTCACCAGGCACTGAGGGGAGGGTGCAAGGCCAGTGCTGACAACTGCCTCGGAGGGGAGCTCAACATACCATATGTACCCTCATTTGAAATAAGCAATCACACCCCTCAGAGCTAGGATTCTTCTCTTACATAAGCAGCCTGAATTCATTCTGCTCTCTGGCTTTAACAATCTTACAGAAAATGTCAGTCAGTATCCCAGTATTCTCTTTAGAATCACCATTTAGCCAACTAGCTGGAAAAGCATGGCTGGGCTGGACAAATTGGTCAGCTCTCAGTCCAGAGTAAACACTAGATTCACACTCTTTGGAGGAAAAAAAACTTTTCATCAATGTAACATACTTGACGGAGGTATAGAACCAAAACGGTGGAGTACAAGGATGTGATCTCACTCCCTCTTGTGAGAACACCAGAATCACAACTAACTGCTGAACAATCATCGACAGGAAGACATTGGAACTCACCAAAAAAGATACCCCACATCCAAAGACAAAGGAGAAGCCACAATGAGACGGTAGGAGGGGCACAATCACAGTAAAATCAAATCCCATAACTCCTGGGTGGGTGACTCACAGACTGGAAAACACTTACACCACAGAAGTCCACCCACTGGAGTGAAGGTTCTGAGCCCCATGTCAGGCTTCCCAACCTGGGGGTCCAGCAGTGGGAGGAGGAATTCCTAGAGAATCAGGCTTTGATGGCTAGTGGGATTTGATTGCAGGACTTCGACAGGACTGGGGGAAACAGAGACTCCACTCTTGGAGGGCATACACAAAGTAGTGTGCGCATCGGGACCCAGAGGAAGGAGCAGTGACCCCATAGGAGACTGAACCAGACCTACATGCTAGTGCTGGAGGGTCTTGGGCAGAGGCGGGGGGTGGCTGTGGCTCACCATGGGGACAAGGACACTGGCAGCAGAAGTTCTGGAAAGTACTCCTTGGCGTGAGCCTTCCCAGAATCCGCCATTAGCCCCACCAAAGAGCAGGGTAGGCTCCAGTGTTGGGTCACCTCAGACCAAACAACCAACAGGGAGGGAACCAAGCCCCAGCATAAGCAGACAAGCAGATTAAAGTGTTACTGAGCTCTGCCCACCAGAGCAACACCCAGCTCTACCCACCACCAGGCCCTCCCATCAGGAAAGTTGCACAAGCCTCTTAGGTAGCCTCATCCACCAGAGGGCAGACAGCAGAAGCAAGAAGAACTGCAATCCTGCAGCCTGTGGAACAAAAACCACATTCACAGAAAGATAGACAATATGAAAAGGCAGAGGGATATGTACCAGATGAAGGAACAAGATAAAACGCCAGAAAAACAACTAAGTGGAGATAGGCAACCTTCCAGAAAAAGAATTCAGAATAATGATAGTGAAGGAGATCCAGGACCTTGAAAAAAGAATGGAAGCAAAGATCGAGAAGATGCAAGAAATGTTTAACAAAGACCTAGAAGAATTAAAGAACAAACAAACAGAGATGAACAATACAATAACTGAAATGAAAACTACACTAGAAGGAATCAATAGCAGAATAACTGAGACAGAAGAACGGATAAGTGACCTGGAAGACAGAATGGTGGAATTCACTGCTGCGGAACAGAACAAAGAAAAAAGAATGAAAAGAAATGAAGACAGCCTAAGAGATCTCTGGGACAACATTAAATGCAACAACATTCGCATTATACGGGTCCTAGAAGGAGAAGAGGGAGAGAAAGGACCCAAGAAAACATTTGAAGAGATTATAGTCGAAAACTTCCCTAACATGGGAAAGGAAATAGCCACCCAAGTCCAGGAAGCGCAGAGAGTCCCACACAGGATAAACCCAAGGAGAAACATGCCGAGACACATAGTAATCAAATTGGCAAAAATTAAAGACAAAGAAAAATTATTGAAAGCAGCAAGGGAAAAACGACAAATAACATACAAAGGAACTCCCATAAGGTTAACAGCTGATTTCTCAGCAGAAACTCTACAAGCCAGAAGGGAGTGGCATGATATACTTAAAGTGATGAAAGGGAAGAACCTACAGCCAAGATTACTCTACCCAGCAAGGATCTCATTCAGACTGATGGAGAAATCAAAAGCTTTACAGACAAGCAAAAGCTAAGAGAATTCAGCACTACCAAACCAGCACTACAGCAAATGCTAAAGGAACTTCTCTAAGTGGGAAACACAAGAGAAGAAAAGGACCTACAAAAACAAACCCAAGGGCTTCCCTGGTGGCGCAGTGGTTGAGAGTCCGCCTGCCGATGCAGGGGACAAGGGTTCGTGCCCCGGTCCAGGAAGATCCCACATGCCGCGGAGCAGCTGGGCCCGTGAGCCATGGCTGCTGAGCCTGCGCGTCCGGAGCCTGTGCTCCGCGACGGGAGAGGCCACAACAGTGAGAGGCCCGCGTACAGGAAAAAAAAAAAAAAAAAAAAGGAACTAGAGAAAGAAGAACAAACAAAACCCAAAGTTAGCAAAAGGAAAGAAATCATAAAGATCAGAGCAAAAATAAATGAAATAGAAACAAACAAAACAATAGCAAAATCAATAAAACTAAAAGCTGGTTCTTTGAGAAGATAAACAAAATTGATAAACCATTAGCCAGACTCATCAAGAAAAAGAGGGAGAGGACTCAAATCAATAAAATTAGAAATGAAAAGGGAGAAGTTACAACAGACACCACAGAAATACAAAGCATCCTAAGAGACTACTACAAGCAACTCTATGCCAATAAAATGGACAACCTGGAAGAAATGGACAAATTCTTAGAAAGGTATAACCCTCCAAGACTGAACCAGGAAGAAATAGAAAATATGAACAGACCAATCACAAGTAATGAAATTGAAACTGATTAAAAATCTTCCAACAAACAAAAGTCCAGGACTTCACAGGTGAATTTTATCAAACATTTAGAGAACAGCTAACACCCATCCTTCTCAAACTCTTCCAAAAAACTGCAGAGGAAGGAACACTCCCAAACTCATTCTATGAGGCCACCATCACCCTGACACCAAAACCAGACAAAGATACTACAAAAAAAGAAAATTACAGACCAATATCACTGATGAACACAGATGCAAAAATCCTCAACAAAATACTAGCAAACAGAATTCAACAACACATTAAAAGGATCATACAGCATGATCAAGTGGGATTTATCCCAGGGATGCAAGGATTCTTCAATATACACAAATCAATCAATGTGATACACCATATTAACAAACTGAAGGAGAAAAACCATATGATCATCTCAATAGATGCAGAAGAAGCTTTCGACAAAATTCAACACCCATTTATGATAAAAACTCTCCAGAAAATGAGTATAGAGGGAACCTACCTCAACATCATAAAGGCCATATACGACAAACCCACAGCAAACATCATTCTCAGTGGTGAAAAACTGAAAGCATTTCCTCTAAGATTAGGAAAAGAGAAGGATGTCCTATCTCACCACTATTATTCAACATAGTTTTGGAAGTCCTAGCCACGGCAATCAGAGAAGAAAAAAAAGTAAAAGGAATACAAATTGGAAAAGAAGAAGTAAAACTGTCACTGTTTGCAGATGACATGAGACTATACATAGAGAATCCTAAAGATGCCACCAGAAAACTACTAGGGCTAATCAGTGAATTTGGTAAAGTTGCAGGATACAAAATTAATGCACAGAAGTCTCTTGCATTCCTATACACTAATGATGAAAAATCTTAAGGAGAAATTAAGGAAACACTCCCATTTACCACTGCAACAAAAAGAATAAAATACCTAGGAATAAACCTACCTAGGGAGACAAAAGACCTGTATGCAGAAAACTGTAAGACACTGATGAAAGAAATTAATGATACCAACAGATGGAGAGATATACCATGTTCTTGGATTGGAAGAATCAATATTGTGAAAATGACTATACTACCCAAAGCAATCTACAGATTCAATGCAATCCCTATCAAACTACCAATGGCATTTTTTATGGAACTAGAACAAAAAATCTTAAAATCTGTATGGAGACACAAAAGACCCCGAATAGCCAAAGCAGCCTTGAGGGGAAAAAACCGAGCTGGAGGAATCAGACTCCCTGACTTCAGACTATACTACAAAGCTACAGTAATCAAGACAATATGGTACTGGCACAAAAAGAGAAACAAAGATCAATGGAATAAGATAGAAAGCACAGAGATAAACCCATACACCTATGGTCAACTAATCTATGACAAAGGAGGCAAGGATATACAATGGAGAAAGACAGTCTCTTCAATAAGTGGTGCTGGGAAAACTGGACAGTTACATGTAAAAGAATGAAATTAGAACACTCCCTAACACCATACACAAAAATAAACTCAAAACGGATTAGAGACCTAAATGTAAGACTGGACACTATAAAACTCTTAGAGGAAAACATAGGAAGAACACTCTTTGACATAAATCACAGCAAGGTCTTTTTTGATCCACCTCCTAGAGTAATGGAAATAAAAACAAAAATAAACAAATGGGACCTAATGAAACTTCAAAGCTTTTGCACAGCAAAGGAAACCATAAACAAGATGAAAAGACAACCCTCAGAATGGGGGAAAACATTTGCAAATGAATCAACGTTCAAAGGATTAATCTCCAAAATATATAAACAGCTCATGCAGCTCAATATTAAAAAAACAAACAACCGAATCCAAAAATGGGCAGAAGGGGGCTTCCCTGGTGGCGCAGTGGTCGAGAGTCCGCCTGCCAATGCAGGGGACACAGGTTCGTGCCCCGGTCCGGGAAGATCCCACGTGCCGCGGAGCGGCTGGGCCCGTGAGCCATGGCCGCTGAGCCTGCGCATCCGGAGCCTGTGCTCCGCAACGGAAGAGGCCACAGCAGTGAGAGGCCCGCTTACCGCAAAAACAAACAAACAAACAAACAAAAATGGGCAGAAGACCTAAATAGACATTTCTCCAAAGAAGACATACAGATGGCCAAGAAGCACATGAAAAGCTGCTCAACATCACTAATTATTAGAGAAATGCAAATCAAAACTACAGTGAGGTATCACCTCACACCAGTTAGAATGGGCATCATCAGAAAATCTACAAACAACAAATGCTGGAGAGGGTGTGGAGAAAGGGGAACCTTCTTGCACTGTTGGTGGGAATGTAAATTGATACAGCCACCATGGAGAACAGTATGGAGGTTCCTTAAAAAACTAAAAATAGAATTACCATATGATCCAGCAATCCCACTACTGGACATATACCCAGAGAAAATCATAATTCAAAAAGACACATTAACTCCAATGTTCATTGCAGCACTATTTACAACAGCCAGGTCATGGAAGCAACCTAAATGCCCATCAGCAGACGAATGGATAAAGAAGATGTGGCACATATATACAATGGAATATTACTCAGCCATAAAAAGGAATGGAATTGGGTCATTTGTTGAGATGTGGATTGGGATTGACATGTATACACTGATGTGTATAAAACTGATGACTAATAAGATGCTGTATAAAAAAATTAGAAAAAATAAACAAACAAACAAAAAACATACTTTGCAACCTAAGTGTCCATCGACAGATGAATGGATAAATAAGATGTGGCACATATATACAATGCAATATTACTCAGCCATAAAAAGAAACGAAATTGAGTTATTTGTAGTGAGGTGGATGGAGCTAGAATCTGTCACACAGAGTGAAGTAAGTCAGAAAGAGAAAAACAAATATCATATGCTAACTCATATATATGGAATCTAAACAAAAAAATGGTTCTGAAGAACCTAGGGGCAGGACAGGAATAAAGACACAGACGTAGAGAATGGACTTGAGGACACGGGAGGGGGAAGGGTAAGCTGGGACAAAGTGAGAACAGCACTGACATATATATACTACCAAATGTAAAATAGATAGCTAGTGGGAAGCAGCCGCATAGCACAGGGAGATCAGCTCAGTGCTTTGTGACCACCTAGACGGGTAGGATAGGGAGGGTGGGAGGGATACGCAAGAGGGAGGGGATATGAGGATATATATATATGTATAGCTGATTCACTTTGTTATACAGCAGAAACTAACACAACATTGTAAAGCAATTATACTCCAGTAAAGATGTTAAAAAAAAAAAATATATATATATATATATGTATAAAACATACTTCTCAGGGACATGACTAGTCTAAACAATGCTAAATTACAATTTTAGTAATTCAGATATTTTATTTTTATGCCTCCATAACAAATACCTCATTTAGAAGAAGAAGAATGCTATGATTCTGATACCAAGCACCTATCTGTCCACTGGGATTTTTATCATGAGACTTGGTGGTGAGATTAACCCAAGGCTGACTAGGTTTAGGCCTCCTAAAAAGCATATTCGACACTAGTTATATCTCCTCCTTTTCCTACAAACATCACAGAAAGCCAGATGAATTTTCACTGATGCAGCCATTAAATGCTATCCCACTTACAATATGATAAAGATTATGACTCCTCATTTGAAAGTTGATAGAGTATTAAATCGTAAAATGAAATGTGCGGAAAAGGAGAAAAGCACTAAATACTTTTGTCTTACCTGTGACATATTTAAAATTTTCAGAGTGAAATTTTCTAATCCCGTCACATTTCTCTCCTCGCAGTTCACCTTCGGGGACTTCAGACTTTCGGTGGTGTTGGCATCCTCTGTCGGCGGGGGGTCAGATTCCACCACTTCGGGCTCTGCGTAGTACTCCTCTTCTCTCTCCGGGAAGCTGGCTCCAGCGCTGTCCAGAGAGAAGAGGCTCTCCCGGGGGTTGCACCTCGAGTCCTCCTCCCCTCCAGCCCTGCAGGTGCCGCTGCTGGGCTCTGGGCTCAGTTTGTCCTCGGCTTCCCCAGGAATCACAGACAACATTACCATGTGTTCACCATCAGCGTCCAGCCCCAGCACTGCCTCGGCCTCTTCAGCAGCCAGGTCCTGGCCCACTGGGTCACGGGAAGGCACCTCCTCACTCATGTACCCAGCCCCCACCTGGAATCGGTAAGCAGGCTGCTCCTCTGACCATAAGTGACCTCTTTTCTCTGCAACTAAAATATGCCACTATGTTCACAGTCACATCTAACTTCAAAATAAATGAATCCCAAAGAATTACAGTTCTCAAATATGAAATTTTCCCCTCCAGAGTAAAAAGTTACCTTCCCATTAAACTATCACAGAGCCACCCATCATTCTCCAGGTCATGAAGAAGATCACAAGGAGATACTAGATTAATGAATGCCAGGAAGTGGACAAACACATAGCTTCATGCAAAACCTGCTGCTTGCCATGCGGATTACAAGCAAAAACATTCCACTGCAGACATCCAATTAGGAAAATATAATACAAACACTTAAACAATTTAGTTTCTTTGATGAGACTATCCAAGAAAATGATGATGGCTTTATGGAATATTCTACCATGGCAAAGCATCTTTGCACCCATTATAACAGCTCTGTGAGATGGGCAGCACAAGGGTTATCATCCCGACTTAATAGATGAGGTACAGAGAGGTTCAGTGTAATGCCCAATGGCACACAGCCAGTGAGCAGCAGAGCCACGTCTAAGAGCGAAGTCTACTGACTGCTACTCCAGAGCGGGCCTTACCCTCCCCACATGATACCTCGGAGGGCTGCTGGGCAACACTGCCCGAAGAATGCTACTAGAGCCAGCTCCTTCCTGGGGTGGCCTCTACAGCTGGCCTCTGCTCTCCTGCCTGCTGCCCTTGGGCTACTGCCCTCAGGAGTGCTAAAGGTGCACCAAGCAGAGCAGGGGCAGCAGCAGGGAGAAGAGGAGGAGGGTTTTCCTCTCACTTTGGAGCCACTAGATGCGGCTTGGGCCAAAGGTTCCGGTAAGGGGAGAGTCCTGGGCAGTCTCATACATCCATCCAGCAAGCTCCACTCACCTCTGTACAATGACTCCTGCCCTCCACCTCTCATGACCTCAACGACAGCCGCCAGACTCCGGGCCAGGCACTGACCAGGGGAAACGAATGGGCCCAGCTGCACTCAGACAAGCCCACCATATGGCTGGGGAGCCACCAGCTGTATAATGAGCTCTGCATGCAAACAGTGTGTCTAGCAGGGTGTGAATGACCAACTGGCTTCAAAGCCGGGGAGGGAGCTGGGAACTTCCTAAGGTATGCACATTTGTATAACGTCTCAAAGAATATCTCCACACATGTTTGCAGATTCATTCAGCAATTCAAAAACACTCTCTGGGAATTTGCTTCAGGCTAAGTGGAATAACAGGAACCAGATTTATTCTCCCTCCTGAAACAACCCAAAAATCAGCCAAATATGTGAAACAACAGTTTCAGGAGACTAGCAATGAGACAACGAAGGACAGTGGACAGGAAGCAGATGAGAAGAGCCCTGCAAATGCTCTAGCTTACTGCCTGAGAGAGTTCCTGCCCTGTCTCAGGGAGGGCCCGGCTGACTTCTCCAGTTGAGATGGAACTGAGGGTCCAGAAAGACCAAGAAGCTAGAGTTTGCAGGACAGAATACTGGAGATGGGAGAGCTGCAGAAAGAGGACTCTGGAGATCTGTGGAGGGGGCCCCGCCTTGAGTATACTGGTCAGCATATGCCTGTAAGTGAACTACCCCAAGCCAGGGAAAGAACCACTCAAAGGGATTAGAGGTAACAGTACCCAACAGCCACAGAAAGCTGGGAATAGTACCTGTCCCCACCCACTAGCCTGGGAAACCTCCTAAGTCACAGGGTACTGGGGAGAGAACGCGAAAGGGACTTGCCTCAGCAGTGGGGCCCAATTAACCCTAAAGTAAATACAGCTCTGCTTCCATCTAGCAATCCTTAAAAGTGAGAATCACACTGTGTTCAAGTAACTTAACTGTATCCCAGAACAAAGCTCAAGAATATTTACAGGAATACTAAAATATCTAGCACTCGACCAGGTAAAATTTACTTCTGGCATCCAATCGAAGATTACCAGGCATGCAAAGAAGCAGGGAAATTCCCCTCATTATCCATAATGAGAATAAGCAACCAAACCTGACCCAGAACTTGCACAGATTTCAGAATTATTAGATGAGGCTGTCAAAACAGCAATAACTGCATCACATATGTTTAAAAAGTTAAGTAGATATAGAGAACATAAGATATAAAAAAAGACCCAAATCAAAATGCAAATCAAAACCACAATGAGATATCACCTCACACATATTAGAATGGCTATTATCAAAAAGACAAGAAATGACAAATGTTGGTATGCATGCAGACAAAGGGGAACCCTTGTGCACTATCAGTGAAAATGTAAATTGGTGCAGCCACTAAGGAAAACAGTATGGAAGTTCCTCAAAAAATAAAAAATAGAACTACCATATGATCCAGCAATTCCACTTCTGGGCATTTATCCAAAGAAAATGAAAACACTCACTTGAAAAGGTACATGCACCCCCATGTTCACTGCAGCATTATTTACATAAGCCAAGACATGGAAGCAATTGATGGATGCATGGATAAAGAAAATGTGAGATATATATACATATATTTGTATATGTATACGTGTATATATATATATATGTATGTATATGTGTATATATATGTATATATATATAAAAAGTATTATTCAGCCATTTAAAAACAGGAAATCTTGCCATTTACGACAACATGGACAGACCTTGAGGGCATTATGCTAAGTGAAATAAATCAGAGAAAGACAAATACTGTAATATCTCACTTAAATGTGGAATCTAAAAACAAACAAACAGGGCTTCCCTGGTGGCGCAGTGGTTGAGAGTCCGCCTGTCGATGCAGGGGACATGGGTTCGTGCCCGGGTCTGGGAACATCCCACATGCCGCGGAGCGGCTAGGCCCGTGAGCCATGGCCGCTGAGCCTGCGCGTCCGGAGCCTGTGCTCCGCAACGGGAGAGGCCACAACAGTGAGAGGCCCGCGTACCGCACAAAACAACAACAACAACAACAACAACAACAAAAAACTCCACAAGCTCATACAGAAAACAGTTTGGTGGTTGACAGAGGTGGTGGGTAGGGGGTGGGCAAAATGGGTGAAGATGGTCAAAAAGTACAAACTTCCAGTTATAAAATAAGTAAGTCATGGGGATATAATGCACAGCATGGTAACTATAGTTAATTATACTGTATTGTATATCTGAAAGTTGCTAAGAGGGTAGTAAACCTTAAAAGGTCTCATCCAAAGAAAAAAATTTTATAACTGTGTGTGATGATGGATTTTAACCAGACTTATTGTGGTGATCATTTTACTATATATATATATATATATATATATATATATATCAGATGATTATGTTATACAACTGAAACTACTATAATGTTATATCAATTATATCTCAATAATAATTTTTTAAAAGACCCAAATTATACTTCTAGCAATAAAAATTACAAGGTCAGAGATGAAAACTGCACTGGATGGGATTCATAGTAGATTAGACATTACAGAAGAAAAGAGTAGTTAACTTAAGGCATAGCAATAGAACCCATACAAAATGAAACACACAATGAAAAAACGAATCCCCCCCCAAATTAAGAGTGACAGTGAGCTGTGGGACAATTTCAAGTGGTCTCATGTACAGATAATTGGAGTACCCAAAAGAGAGAAGTAAATGGGGGAAAACACAAAAAGTAATTGAAGAAACAATCACCGAAAACTTTACAAACCTGATGAAAACTATAAATCCATAGATCCAAGAAGCTCAACAAACTACACCAAGATACATCATAATCAAACTGATCAAAACCAGTGACAAAGAAAAAATCTTAAAAGCAGATGGAGAAAAAAGACATGCTATGTATAGAGGAACAAAGATAAGGATGACAGCAGATTTCTCATTGGAAACAATGCAAGCAAGAAGAACAGCATCTTTAAGGGACTGGAAGGAAAAAAACTATAAACCTAGAATTCTATACCCAGCAAAAATATCTTTCAAAATCAAAGGCAAAATAAATACGTTTTCAGACATACAAAAGCTGAAACAGTTCATAACCAGCAGACCTACATGACAAGAATCTGAAATGAACTTCTTCAGGCAATAGAAAAATGATACCAGGTGGAAATGTGGATCCACACAAAAGAATGAAGAGCACCAGAAATGGTAACTACGTAAATAAATATATACAATTCTTTCTGAAAGTCTAGCTCTGAAGGGGAAAAGAAAGACCCGGTAGTTGTTATGGGCAGGCAGGGGGCTAAGGGAAATTTTCGTTTTGGTTTTTTAGGACACAGGAGAAATTTAAGGATATATAAAGCTCATGGGAAAGTGAGTAAGCAGGGAGAGGTGACAATACAGGTTAGAGAGGGCAGAGTACAGGGCTTGAGAAGCAAGATAGGTCCTTGACAGAAGAGGGTCAAGCACTTCTTTGCCTATGACCTAGAAAAGGGGCTGGGTGCCTGGGCAAGGAGCTCTGTCAATGGGGTGCGGATGGCAGTCCTCCTGTAGCCTTTGGTTGATAAACATGTACTACTTGTATAATCATAAGTAAAAACAAACAAACATATTTACTAGATCGTCCTCAAGACAGAGCAGAAAATGAAGCCAGAGAGGCAAAAAGTCTGGAGAAGAACAAAGGGTGCCAGATTTGGGAACCAACTCTACTCCCAAATGCACCAGCTCTGCAGAGATCTTCTCTCTCTGAACCTAATCAACATTCTAGGTCCTCTAAAGTAAATGGAGAATGCCAATATCCTAAAAGAATCTCAAGAGAAAAAAATCAGGGCACAAAATAGAATCTGGTTCTTCTGATCACCTTTATGTAAAACTGGACAGATGTCCCTTACAGAAAATCAAAAGGAAGTCTGAGTGATGCAGAGAGCTAGAATTTTGAGTCAGGAGTGTTGTTTTTCCCTCCTGTGAAGATATTTAAGTAGAGCGGACAAATTAGGAACAAAACAAAAATTCTCACACCCTCAGGTACCATTTTTTTCATTTAAGCATTGGGAAGAAAGGAAACATTGAATTATTCCACTCCAAGAAATGACCTACCGTGTGAGAGCCATTGAACCCTCCCATGGTAATGCCCCTTTTAAAAAAGATTGCTTCTCAATGTCAATAATCTGATTATAGTTTGAGCCATGCATAAAGTGGAAATGACTGCACTATTGGCAGCAAGGAGTATGTTTGGAGAACAGGGGCGAGGGCACCACTCCAACTCTGCCAAGGAGCCCTAGCCTGGGTGAGCTCCTTCATACCCTTCCAGTTGTTCTCAAAAGACTCTCTACCAGCCACAGGTTTTTTTTCATAATGGCTTCTGTGTCAGGGGAGCCAACTGGGGAGGACCAAAAACAGCTGGGGGTTAGAGGGGCAGCAACCCGTACTTTCCATAGGAAATTTTCAGTGTGTGCATCTAACAAACGGAGAAAATACCACTGAAATGCAGACATTCATAGGGCTACCACGCAGATTAAATGAGAAAAGACGTGTATGGTCCCTGGCACATGGTAAGCACTCCATAAATGGCTACAGTGATGGTGATGATGATGATGATGATGATGATAATGGTTATGACTGATGCTTACAATTCAAAGAGATGGACGGGAACCACAACTAGGTCCTATTAATTCCTCTGCTAAATACACTCTGGATCCATCCACTTCTCCCAACCCACTCACACCCCTCAGTCCAGGCCACAGTCATCTCTCACTTGGACAACTGCTGCAACCACCAAAATGGTCTTCCTGGTTGGCCCTCTACCCCCTCTCCAAACCCTTCTCCTCACAGCAACCAAGTGAAACTGAAAGTCAAAGGCAAATGTGATCATATCACTCCCCTGCTCAAACCCTTTCAATGGCTTCCCCCTACGCTGTGAATGAATCCATGCTCTGTAGCATGACTACCAGGCCCCAGGTGATAAGGTCTCTGTCCATACTCCCAACAGGTGCAACTAGACATTTCTGGTCCCTGATCACTCACACCCTCCTCCCCCTACCTCAGAACTGTCCCGAGGGCTGTTTCTCTGCCAAGAGCCCTCCCTCCACTCCCTCTCTTCTTCTGGCTAATCTGACACATCCTTCAGATCTCACCCTAAACTTCACCTCTGTAAGGTGAACTTCACCCTCCTAGACCCTCATACCAGAAGGGTCTCCCATTACAGCATTCCATAATGCCCTGGGGCTCTCCTTGAAGCATTTTCCACTCTTGTGGAAAATTTACTTAATTATTTGTGGTCATTTAATGCCTGCCTTCCCCACCAGACAGAAGGGTGGGCGTATTTCTCTACTTGCTCTCCACTGCACCCAGAGTGCCTAACAGAGCATATGGCATATGACAGGTGCTCAGTCAGAATCTGCTAGTTGACTGTCTAGTGAAGACAGGTGTGGGGTGTTGAAGTCCAGGGTTGGCACCCGTTCCTTGACACCTGGACAGCACTGCCACCTCCAGTTGCTAATTTGCCAGTGGTATCCTCTGCAGAAAAAAAGCCTTGGATTTTCAGCCACCCCCAAAAGGAACCAGCTGGTGAAGCTTCCTCAGTCCTCACCCCATTCATGGCCTGGCCATGATGACCAGTGACCCACCCCATGGCTGGTGTTACCCTCAGGTCTGTATGACGTGACCCTCCCTGCCAGGTAGGCCCACACTGACTGCCGAATCAGCCAGTGTTCTGCCAGGAAACAGCACGTGCAACTTGGACAATTGGAGGAGAACTTAATAAAGGTACCTGCAACATGTGAGCTGGGTGTAGAGAAACCAAAAGCAATGGTAAGGAATCCCAGGGTCAATAACAGCAGAAGGGGAGCCGGTTACCACTCATAGACCTTAAGAGTCCAGAGGCAGAAGCCTTGAAACAGAGAGTACAACCTTCTAGAAGCCCTAACTTTCAGTGGAGGGACACAGCCAACCTGCGATATCCCCAAGGGAGGGAGCTGAGCGAATCAATAACCTGACCTCACTCTCCCTTCATGCCAACACAACAGAAGCCAGAAGACAGAAGAGCCGGTTGTTTATTCCATACAGGACAGCTACTCAGGGCACAGAGCAGGGTGGAGAAGGCTGAAGAATGATCTGAGAGACAAACAGAAGATATCCAGCACATGCTGTCCCCTCTCTGAGGCTGGTGGTTAAGTGTAGCGACAGAGAAGTGTGGTACAGAGCTTTGACTGTGAGGTCAGGCAGACAGAGGCTTGAATTGTAGCGTCTCAACTTCTGCTGTTGGACCTTGGTAAAAGACTTAGCGGATGCTGAGTCTCAGTTTACTCATCTATCAAATGGGGACAATAACAACATACATTTCATAAGCATTTAAAGACTAAATAAGATGATGCTCAAAAAGCACTAAGCACACTGCCTGGCAGATAATGAGTGT